GAATTTCGAAATCTATGGTGGCACCATCCGAACTACAAAATTTTGGATTTTCTAAAGAAAATTTGGAATTTAACCCATGTATGGCCTGCATAAGCCTCCTACACAGCCAGTTCTGTTTCAGGTAATGACTGTTTTCAACCTACATTTGAAATTGATGATCATCACCTGCTTGGTATAATTGGCTAATCTTGGGGCCAGTTCACACCAAAAAAAGCACGCCAGATGCGTTTTTGTTTACAGTTCACACCAAACTTTGTTCCAGTGCGTTTTTGATATGTTTTGCTGTGTTACAGTACAGTTCTGTGCAGAAAAAAATGCAGCACTTTTTTTCTGCTCCGGAAACTGACTGCACTGGTGTGAACTAGGACCATTGGAATACATGGAAAACACTGTGCATGCATGTTTGTTGCAGAAAAAATGCACTGGGCTGCATCTGGTGTGAACCAGTCCATACACCGGATTCTAATCCAACAAAATCCCTGACTTTCTGCAAGTGTACAAAGTGTAAGAATTGATGCTGGTTTGAATCCAAAGGGCAGCCACACCAAATATTGATTTGATTTAGATTTTTCTTCTGTTCATTCACTGCATTTTGTAAATTTCTAACAAATAATTAAATTTTTTTAAAAATATATACAGTTAGGTTCATATATATTGGGACACAAGCACAATTTTAGTTTTTTTCAGGTATTTACCAAAACATATTCAAGCTATAGTTATATAATGGGTATGGGCTGAAAGTGCACACTATCAGGTTTAATTTGAGGGTATGCACATCCAAATTGGAGGAAGGGTTTAGGGATTACAGCTCTTAAGAGTAGCCATCCCCCCTTTTTCAAGCGGCCAAAAGTAATTAGACAATTGAATAAAAAGCTGTTTTATGGCCAGGTGTGGGCTACTACTTCGTTACTTCTTCATCATTTAAGCAGGTAAAAGGTCTGGAGTTGATTCTAAGTGTGGTTTTTGCATTTGGAATCTATTCCTGTGAACTTACATCATGCATTCAAAGGAGCTGT